ACTATGACTGCTGGATGCAGTCATGGATAAAGAAAGTGCTACAGCACACTGTGTTTCTGCTTATGGCACTGGGGGCGTCTGTGCTGGCCACACAGTCCTGTCCCTAACCGGAGAAGTCTTCTGGGCTGAACAGTGACTCCTCAACAGCAGTGCAGTCCATCTCCACAGCAAGAAGTGCGTTTGACAGGAAAATAGATGGCAGGCTGGGGTCGTTTTACCAAAGCAGACATTTGGCAGCAAAGATCCTCTGTGTCCCAGTAAGGACAAAACCACCCTGGTGGCTTGGTCAGCGTGGGTTTACCATACAGAATGTGCTATCTGTGCGTGTCACTTCCACAGTGTGTCATAGATAAAAAGTGCATCAACAAAGCAGCATTCTTTATTTTCCTCTTTCTTTTTTTTATTTAAGTTAGAAACAAGCTTGTTTCACGTGTCAATCCCAGCTCCTCCTCCATCCCTTCCTCCCCCGCCCTTCCTACCAGGCTCCCCTAGCCCCCTACCCAATCTCCACTCTGATCCCCAAGGAGGGTGAGGCCCTCCATGGAGGATCTCCAGAGTCTGTCATTTCATCCAGGGCAGGGCCTAGGCCCTCCCACAAGAGTTCAGGCTGAGACAGCATCCCTCACTGTGGGATGGGCACCCAAAGTCTATTTGTACGCCAGGAATAAATACTACCCAAGGCCCCATAGATTACCTAGACCTCCTCCTTGACACCCACATTCAGGGGGTCTGGATCAGTCCCATGCTGGCCTCTCAGCCATCAGTCTGAGGTCCATGAGCTCCCCCTTGTCAGGTCAGCTGTCTCTGTGGGTTTCACCAGCCCAGTCTTGACCCCTTTGCTCATCACTCCTCCCTCTCTGCCACTGGGTTCCATTGAGTTCAGTTCAGTGTTAGCTGTGGGTGTCAGCCTCTGCTGTTCCCATGGTCTCTCAGCAAGCCCTGCCACACCCCATCAGCTCCCGTTTCTCTCCTTTCCTGTCTGCTGCACACTCATGGCTACACTTCTGCTGCAGGTCTGGAATGAGGTAAAGACCCAGGAAGAATGTGGCTGACTACTTCAACAGATCAGGGCCTGCAGCAGCCTCTTGCAGAATTCTGCACGAACCAGAGTAACTCATCCAAACGCAGCTAACTCTACATCAGCTTCTTTTGGATACCTTAGACATCCAATTTAGTGTGTGTGTGTGTGTGTGTGTGTGTGTGTGTGTGTGTGTGTGTGTGTGTCTGCATGAGTTTATGTGCACCGTGTGCATTCAGGAGCCCACAAAGGTAAAAAAAAAAACACATCATATCTTTTATTACTGGAGTCACAAGCAATTGTAAGCCCTTATGTGGGTCCTGGGAATTGAACCCAGGCCCTCTGAGAAAGCAGCAAATGCTCTTAACCACTGAGCAGCCATCTCTCAAGCCAGCCCCTAGGCATCCGGTTTTTAGTGACTATCCCCACTGGAAAGAATTCATATCCCCAATGCAATGTACTGTACAAAGTATACAGGCTAAAGTACAAAGAGAAATAGAAAAGAATAATATTGGTGTTCAGACCAATAGACCTTCCCCGTTGCCCTACATGCTTTTCTCCGGGGCATGTCCTGTGTCCTGAAGTCCCCACAGCAGTAGAGCAGCCACTAGGCACTTAGGTTTAAAACAGTTTAAAATAGTTAATTATACCTTACCCTGCAGAGAGAGAAAATGTTTTCTCCCAATCCCTGAAAGTAGATAGTGAATAATTTAGAGAGTCTCGGCAATCCAAAACTTTCAGTACCTATTTTTAAAGTGAGGCACTGGATTAAAACACGCTGTCTGGTTCCAGAGAGCAACTCTTAATGATTGTACCGCATGGCCTCTCAAGTGTGAATTTCTAATAGGAGAACTGTAGGCTGCAAGAGGGGTTGGGGGAGGGTGCGGGGCATTCAAGCCACCGGGTGGGAAACACGTTAAAGGCTTTAAAGGCTAAGAGCCTGTGGCAGGTTCCGCAAAAAGTGGGTCAACATCACAGAAAACACAAAGTAGAAAATAAAGCTGAGAATTTAGGGGGAAACTAAATCACACTCTGGTCTCTGTCCTTTCTGCTTATCCATTAAGAGTAAATACTGTTTTCTCTGCAAGCTGTATGGGTTGCTAAAGATTTAAATACGGAAGGTAAAACTATATGGTTTAGGAAAGCTGTCTTTAAATGAGTAGGTCTATGGTCTTGAGTGGAAACAAACCTTTTGAACAGAGTATCAAAACTGGAAGCAATTGAGGAATGTCTTCATTTGGCTATTAAAATAGAAATGTGTGCCTGCCTGAGCATAGAAAGCCTTTTAGCTTACCCCCACATCCTGTCTTTACAAAAATCTAATCTAGAGCTTTAAATAAGCCCAGAGAATATAAACAAGGAAATAAATAGAAAAGTATGACCCTCTCTCAAGTACTCATATGTCTCTAAAATAACTACAGCCCTGGCATGAACCCACCCCCAGACTGGATTAGTCCAGAGTACAAAGCAGATCATATTTCTGTAGAGTCAAAACCTGGGAGTGCCCTTAATCCCTCACAAACCCCAGACCACAGGAAGCCATTAGCCAGAATAAACAGAGCATGAGAAGGGGCTACATGATGATGGGTACATACAGCCAAATGAGAATCCAAGCCGTCAGTCTCAGTAATTCTTAGAGACAGCCACAAAACTTGAACACTCAGCGAATGGCTTAATGGTCTTCTAACATCAACACAGTAATTGTGGGAATGTTGAAAACACATGACCAATGACTAGTCTCCTTTGTGTGTACCTGTTTTTTTTTTAATGCCGTAAAAATATGTTATAGTAACGAATACATGATCCTAAGGCAGTTGAGTCTTAAAGTATTTAATCAGCCTGTCAAGGATATGGGACTGAAGCCGGTAACAGAGTAAAGTCAAAGAGGCTTGCATTACTACTACACACACACACACACACACACACACACACACACACACACACACACACACACACAGCCTAGCTGAGTGATCCTGCAGCAGCTGGCTGCTGGACCACAGTCTGCAAGCATCTACATCAGGCTTTCATTTTTTTTCCTTGAATCTACAGCTTCTTAAATAGTAAGCGGGTAACGGGGATACTTCCGCCTGGAAGTGGGATTGTGCGTACCACTCAGCTTGCAGCTTTCCCTGCAAACTGAACCGTGGGATTCTCTCCCACATGTCAGCCATGGTGGCGGGTTGGGTTGGGGCCTTTGAGTTTGTATCCTACGCTTATGAAAAGATCCTGTGCCTAAGTTCTTAGTCCTCACTGAGACCTGCCCCTCACACAGTGCCGTGACACAGGGACACATCTGACTGAGGTCCAAGAAAAGAGCCTCTTGCTTCCAACTGCTCAAAACTAAGGTGGCCTTGGCAGAAACGCATGAGAAGGCCTATTGTTCCAGGGTCCTCTACCTTCATCTCCCCTCCGCTTGCGTAGGACACATAACTGCTTCCTTTGGATTGGGCAAACCATGCAGAAATAGCTCTGAGGCCATTGTACCAGTTAGCCCATCCGATCGGAGTTTTTCAAGAGTCCCTGGCTTTGGTTGCTTGGGCGCTCACTGTTGGAGAAAAATCGCTTAACAGTGGAACTCAGAGATCTGACACCGAGTGTTTACAGAGTACACAAGAAGAGCACAGAGGCAGGGAGCTGGAAGCTGTGTCTCATTCCTTGCTGCAGAGCACAATCTCCTTTTGTTCTCTTCAGGGGAATCTATGAACGACTCCACCTTCGCCAAGTTCAGGGGCATCACCTCGGAGAGTAGAAAAGTAGCCTGGATGTGACTGAATCATGATTTGAACTTAGTGGTGTGTGTGTGGGGGGGTGTGTGTGTGTGTGTGTGTGTGTGTGTGTGTGTGTGTGTGTGTGTGTGTGTGTGTGTGGTGTGTGTGCCTGGCATGTGTGTGTATCTGGTGTGTGTGTGATGTGTGTGTGTCTGTGTGTGTATTATGTATGTGTGTTGTGTTTGTCTGTGATATGTGTGTGTATTGTGTGTGTGGTGTGTATGTATATTATGTATGTGTGTGTGTGTGTATGTGGGGTGTGTGTGTGTGGGTGTGTGTGTGTGTGCCTGGCATGTGTGTATGTCTGGTGTGTGTGTGTGTATATTATGCATGTGTGGTGTGTGTGTTTGTGGTATGTGTATGTGTGTGTGTATATGTGTGTGTATCTGGTGTGTGTGTGTGTGCCTGGCATGTGTGTGTGTGTCTGTGTGTGTGGATTATGTATGTGTGGTGTGTTTGTTTGTGGTGTGTGTGTATTGTGTGTGTGGTGTGTATGTATATTATGTATGTGTGGTATGTGTGCATGTGTGTGTGTGTCTGGTGTATGTGTGGTAGGTGTATGTGTGTCTATATTATGTATGTGGGGGGTGTGGTGTATGTGGTATGTGTGTGGTGTGTGTGTGTGTGTGTGCCTGGCATGTGTGTGTGTCTGGTTTGTGTGTGTGTGTGTGTGTGTGTGTGTGTGTGTGTGTGTAAGAGCAACGTCTCTGAGGTGCTGAAGAAAAGCAAGATGAGACTCAGACTCCAGCTGTTAGGTATCTCAACTTTGAAGAAGATTCTGGAAATGGAAGGTTTTAGACTTGAGGTTCTAGGGGAACACTGAGTTAGCTGTGAAGTAAAAGAACTTTATTAGAAGAGGTATTGATGTCATGAACAGACACAGCTGCATGGCAGAGGGTTTGAGAGGCATTTGGGGCCCCTCCTTAGAGGTTTCAGAGGAAGGGTAGAGTCTACATCACGTGGTCGATGGCAATCCTTAACCCGTGTTTGCAGCCAGTGATGATGGTGGAGGGACACAAATCTAGAAACACAAGTTACCTTTATTCTGGAGACCAAATTACTATAGTTTGAGGAACTGTCAATCAAAATGATGATGCCTTATACAGTAGCATGGCCCCGGCTGTCACTTGGACAGTGCCCACCCAAACACTTCACTCTGATTGTCTCCCCTCGCCCGGCCCTCACGGCCCGCTTCCTTGCCCCTCTCACCTCAGGTGTGGAAGACATCGTGGCTATAATGATCCCTGAGCCCAAAGGGAAGGAGATAGTAAGCCTGCTGGAGAGGAACATCACCGTGACCATGTACATCACCATCGGAACCCGGAACTTGCAGAAATACGTGAGCCGCACCTCAGTTGTGTTTGTCTCCATCTCCTTCATTGTCCTGATGATCATTTCCCTCGCGTGGCTGGTCTTTTATTACATCCAGAGGTTCCGATATGCAAACGCCAGGGACAGGAACCAGGTGAGTAGCTCATTAAGAAAGAGCATCGCTCTGTAAACTCAATGCAAGTAAATTTTGTAACTCAGAAGTAACAGGATGTGCTCAACAATGTCTTTTGACTCCATTCCACAAACACCATTCACTTCTGCAGTGCGGCTTTTCAAAGAGTTATTATTTATTTTTATTCTTGTGTTTTACTGATATGGTCATTTAGGATGTTGATGGTGTATACCATACTCACGCCCATTGCTCATTTTTAAACAATTGTTTATTTAAACAAACGTGGAATGAAGGGAGAAGGGGAGAGGGACAGGAGCCTAGATTGTGCTAATAGTGACAACGTGACTGGAAAATAGCCAGGATTTCCTCCTTGGGAAAGTAAAAGGGATGGAGAATGAGATTTTTGTTTTAAAAAAATTTTTAAGCAGTTCATTTTTGAGCATCTGTACACTGTATAAATGTGAATGTTGTACAATGCAATGCAATGAGAAATGATTGCCTTCCGTGCGAGTCCTGGCTACCCATTTCTTCTCCAGAGAGTATCTTCTGCGGATATTTTACACACGTCTAAATGCATATGCTTGTATGTGTAATCACATGTTTAAATGCACGTGCTTGTAAATATAAACTCTCTCTTTAAAACAGAATAAGTGTGTATGTAATTCTGCACCTTTCTTCATCTTGGAGATTAATTATCATGGATATCAATTCATCCCAACACAAAATCAAACAGCTCATGAGGGCCTGGCATTGCACTGCCTTCCTACGTCATATTCATTTATCCAGTTCCCATTAATGAGCATGTTTTCTCTTTCAAACAAGACATACATATGTGATAGTTAGCACATTTTCAGTGTATCCATAAGATAAATTCTAGAATTTCAATTGTCAATGCAATACTACGTGTACTGTTGATTACAATGTTGTCTTCCAAAATAATATTGTTGAACCAACTTATACTTAAACCTACACAACGTTTAAAAAGTAGTTTGCCGGGAACAGATATTTGGCTCAGTGGGCAAAGGTGCTCCACTCCAAGCCTGGTACCTTGAGTCTAAGCCCCAGACTTCACAGAATAGAAAGAGAGATGTGACTCCCATAAAGTAGGACTGCCCCAGGCACCTCTTGGGACAAGCAGATAGGGACACACATGCACACACATGAACACAGACACACATACACAAATAAATGTAAGAAAAACAGCTGTCCAAAGCCTTATCCAATGAAAGTTACAGCTTTTTTGGATTTGACAGATGGCATCATTTTTGTTTTGTTTTGTTTTGTTTTGTCTGTTTTGTTTTGTTCCTGTGGAGCTAGGCATTGAGCCCCTGGTCTTGCACATGCTAAGCCACATCTCACCACCATGCGACATTTCCGGCTACGGCACCACACTTTTTAAGCTATAAGTAATGCCAAATATGTTCTCAAGGACAGTGTAAAACACGAAGCCCTGTTATGTACTTGCTTCTGTGGTCTGATGGTTCTTCAGTTGAGTTGTTGGATACTTTCTTATTAGTGTGTGTCAGGGTGTTTATTGGTCCAGGAAATTAGCCAATATTTTATGCTATGGGACGGCATTCCTTCCCGCTTCTTTGCCTTTACCTGTGATCTCTGAAGCCTGAAGATGTGCTGCCATTGTTGGGTTGCTGAATCTATCCAGTTTTGAATAAACCACTAAAACTTGTGTAATTAGATCTACTCCGGGCCAAAGCTTAGAAAAGCATTCTCTCTGTTTTGCTCTACCTTATATTTATTTCCCTTTTGTAATCAAGTCTTGCGGAACTTTTCTTTATAAAGACTAAAGAGAGGTACAACTTTTTTGTGGTGCCCTGCTGCTTCTATAACTGGCACTAGTTGAATAATTAACTTTCCCCTGAAGAGCAGCCGCCTACTCTAACAACATGAAGTACCCCTGTGAGGGAAACTGGCCCACGTTCAATGCTCTCTGAGCTGTTCCCATCACCTACCTGTGCTCCTGCTCCAGTGCTACACACTGGCTGCGTGCCTCACAGCTGTCCCGTTGGTCTCCTCTGTTGCATTACCTTCACTGCATTTGTGTTTATGAGTTTGGAGTTGTTGTGGCAGCTTTCAAAGCTATAGGATAATTCAGGATACATTTATAACTGTTAATGTCAAATCTCCTAAGTGAGGTTTATGTTTTTTGCTTTTGCTTGACTCTTTAGTCTCTGGTAGCACTGTCAAATTATCCCTGTCAATCTGACATAGTCTTCTTACACATGTCTCAGGTACACAATCACTACGTGTTGCTTTAGTGCTTCTGGTTTTAAACATCCTGTTTCATTTCACTGGCATGTCTGATACCCACTCTGAATATTCTAAAATGGCATGGCAAGCTAATCTCTCACCCTATAGTATTTAAGGGAATACTCTCAATTTAATGAGATTTTAAAATTAATTTCCATCATATTATTTTCCATTCAGTTTTATAGGTTGAAATATTTTCTTACGTTACAAAATACATAATTTTGTAAATATCAACTTAGCCCTGCTTTACTGAGGCTTTTCTCTTTTTTTGGTTTTTACGAGACAGGGTTTCTCTGTATTGTTTCGGAGGCTATCGGTCCAGCCCGGCCTCGAACTCACAGAGATCCGCCTGCCTCTGCCTCCCGAGTGCTGGGATTAAAGGCGTGCGCCACCACCACCCAGCTTACTGAGGCTTTTAAACAAGAATGGATATTAATTTTTCAAAGGTGACTTTTTGATAGCAGGTTCCAGTGAGTGGCATCCATTATTACAGGTAGACTCAAGGTCATGAACATGAATCACTAAATGTTCTTCAGTGTTAGTGCATATAATTCCAGTTAGACTCAAGATCATGAACATGAATCATGAAATGTTCTTCTGTGGTAGTGCATACAATTCTAGTTAGACTCAAGGTCATGAACGTGAATCACGAAATGCTCTCCAGTGGTAGTGCATACAATTCCAGTTAGAATTGAGGCAGTGAACATCAATGTGTCCAGCTGGCTCCTTTAGGGTTCCTTGTGAAGTATATAGTTGTATATTGGTTATTTAAAAGATAGTCACCAGCTAATTAGACAGTCATAAACAAAAATATGTGTTTTTATGCCCATGGAGAATCCAAGCAGCCAGTTAGCACTTAGGGCAAGGATGAAATTTTAAGCTGTGAACTAGTTACATCTTAGATTAGTTGCATAACCCTTTTGATCACTCTACTTTCTGCATGTAGACGGGGTTTCCATGTCCACTTAAGCATGAGCATGCTCAGTGAGACATTTATTAACTTTCCTTGAATTGCAGTATGTTATCACCAAGGTCACTCAGTGATGGGGCCATGTTAAAAGTTAGCCCTGTTTCCTGACCAATGTGAACATTACATTTTTGGCCCCTTTTAAAGGGTGGAATAAGAACTTAGGAAAAAATATCTTTGATAGGCAGTGTTCCACTCTGTTCAACAGAACATTACAGCTGTACAAGCCATATCTATAATAAGCAGCAGGTTGACTTAAATCATTTATTTTTATTACGGCGTCACTGACCTTCAGAGAGAGTGAGCCTTCAGATCTTTGTAGGACCACAGCCCGAGGTAAAACAGGACAGGAGTTCATCTCACCTCGGGATGTGCTCTGCTAAAAGAGGCACTGAGCTTGAATTAGCCTGTTGTAGATGTCCACCTGGCTTCATGATGTTCATAGTCTAAAGACCTTCCCCAGAGTCTTACAAGGTAGTGATGCTTTCCATGCTGTGCAGTATCCGTGCTATGCTGTACATAGAGATGGTCATGCCAATGCAGCTGTCCATGAAGTGAGGTCCTCCGAGTAATCACAGCAAAGTCCTCTACATGGAGACACAGAGAATAAGGGCCACAGCCGGGAGTGGATGAGAAACTTGGCTACTGTGCCGTGCTTCCTAAGAGAGGGTGGTTAAAGGCACCAGCTTGGGTATCAGGGCCAGTGTGGCTCAAACATTTGGTGAGACCTAGAGTCGTGAACTTGCACGAGCTGTTTCCCCTGCTCAGGCCCCGGCCACCTGAAACATAAGGTCAGCATGACAGCATGCCATCCCTGGAGTCGTGCAGTGAGGATCAAACAAGAAATGTATGGCATTTTCAGAAGGATATCTATAAAATCACTTGTAATAGGCAAAGCAAAGAATTGTTAGAAAATAGCATTTAAATGTAAATAGCTCATATATATATACATATATATGTATATACATACACACACGTCTATATACATATATATATAGTCTAGATATGAGCATTTTAGTCCTTATGAAACAGTTTGAAGCAAAATGGGATCATCTTTCCAACTTTCCTCTAAAATAACAGGAAACAGGGGCTTATAAATATCGTGTCCAGCTAGCTAGGGTAATGCATACTCATCTCCTCAAAACAAAACACACACCAATAACCTGTCTCAAAACAATAAATCTTTTAAAAATTTCACTGTAGAGGAAAAAAATCTAGTTTTCTTGGAGACTCACATCCCATGAAGAACTTTGAAAATTTGAACTATAGTGTATGAGCAGAGTAAGAATATAATAACAATGAAACAAGAGTGAACACTTCAGAGTAATTATCCTTCCCACGCAAATTCCTTAACAATTATCCCCGTGTCCAGGGAGGGAAAAACTCTGCCCATATCCTGTGTGTGCTTCTGGGAATGCCTGTGTGTATATAGATGTTGTTTAAGTTATTTTCACATGTGTTACCTAGACAAGGGCTCTGCCCTTACGGCCGTGTTACAGTAGCAGCAAGAGGGACACACACTAAAATAGACAGCAGACACCCAGTGAAGGACTGTAATTACTATGGCCAGTGGTGGCTTTAGACTACAGTGTCATAAAAAGGCTACGGTATCACATTAAAACACTGTCTCAAGTCTTGTGGACCCAATAAGGAACATAAAAATATGCCAGGCGCTGGTGGCGCACACCTTTAATCCCAGCACTCTGGAGGCAAAGGCAGGTGGATCTCTGTGAGTTCAAGACCAGTCTGGTCTACAGAGTGAGTTCCAGGACAAGCTCCAAAGCCACAG